TCAAATCTATATATGGCCTTTTGTTTTTTTGTTCAACTACAAATTTTATTCTTCAATATTTCATGATAGTGAAATAAATCTATTTGTTATAAGTAACGAATTTTTATGATGAAGGTGATCGTCCTCCTCCTCCTCTAAATTCGCCTACTGAGTAATCGATAAGAGAAAATAACAATATGAAAGAATACAGCATAGATATTTCATGAGAATTTTACATTCGAGTGGATATAAACAAGATGTTGTTTCGGGTCTATCGAGATTTAAAACAGCTGATCCCTTTCCTTATGTCTACATCAGAGATTGCATTGACAAATTTTGTTTTTTATAGAATTTTTGTTAAATTTCTATGAAGAAAAAGATCTAGATTTTTGTATTCTATTTTTAGAATCATCAGATATTTCTATTGTCATAACCTACAAGTCAATCATTCTATTCTTTTCATAGTTATTGTGTGACTGATTATTGTCACAACATTTTCCCTTTTTCGAATAAAAATGATTCTAACATGTTATTCTATTGGGATTTGACTAATAACTTCTTTTTGTTTTCTTTTTTCCTTTCTAATTCAGCTGATGTACGTATATTTGATGATTATTATTGTCGTCGTGCTTATGGAAGTGTCTTTGATTCAGATACAGAAATCTGTGCCGGTGATTATGATCAACGAACAGATACAATGGTAAGAGAAAAATATTTTGACAAAAATAAATATATATGTTTTTCTGTTGTAATCAAAAAAGAGTGGTGATTCCGGTGGTCCTTTACTTATTCAACAAACAGATGGTCGTTGGATTGTTCTTGGTATAACATCATATGGTGCAGCAACAACACCAACTATGGCACCGGGTGTTTATGTTAAACTTTCAGCTCATACAAAATGGCTTGAACCATATTTAAAAACGAATTAAATTTGTACTAAAAAAAAAACATTCATCAATGGAATTACTTTCATTTTCTTTTCTTTTTTTTTTTATCTTTACTATATATGTTAATTCATTTATTAATAAAAAGAAAAATGAACAAATTTTATTAGTCTATGCTATTTTTATTTCATTATTCACCTTTCTTTTTTTTTTTTCGTTTATGGAAAAAAAAAATAATTAAAGATAATACATGTGTGAAAAAAAAAAAAAAAGAAAGAGAGAAGAAAAAAAAAAAAAAAAAAAAATGACAGAAATGGAAATAAACCGAGACATACATGTTAAAAAGTATATGTGCACATATGCACACACACACAACAAAGGAAAAAAAAAAAGGCATACAATTAATATTATTTGAAATATGCATATTTGGATAATTTATTCAGATAAAATAAAACAAACAAACAAACAAGAGAAAAACTCTTGGAATTTATCTTAAATATTAAGGATTTAAACCAAAACCAAAAAAAAATTAAAACACTCATCTGACTTGACTGACATTACATACGTAGACAAGAAGCGACAATGAGATTTCTTTTTTTTTTAATATAATTTTCTCACATGTACTAATTAATCAATTCGTTTAATCATTTGAATTACTCAATTATTTAATATTCAATACAGCCTAATACATATACAAACATAAAAGAAAAGACAAGAAGAACTATTCATTTTGCATATTGAAGAAGAAGATAAAAAGCTTAAAATTAACTAGCATTTTTTATTTTATACACATATATTGATAAAACATGACCACATCCAATCAGTCCTAGAATAAAAAAGAAAAAGCCATAGTGTTATATTATTTATATAAATTAATTTTGAAAATGCGAAGAATAAAAATATGTTTTGAAACTAAGTCCGAGATCAAAAACGACTCTCGTCTTGCTATTTGTTCAGAGAAAGATACTATCGAATGTGACATGTTTGAAACAAGTTCAATTCAATAGTCGTAATATTTCAGAAAAAAAAAAAGTCATTCTCGATGATTGTCACTTCAATATCAAATAGATTTAAGAGCTTTTCAATCCGACATAAATATTATTCCTTACATAATAAGCTTTCAAAATTCTTGAAAAGTTCATTGAGTCTTTATTAATTTAAAATTCAATTTTTTCATTGTCGCAAAATAATTACGGAGTATACCTAAAGCTTAATGTAAGACTTTCTATTTTTAGAAAATATTATTGATATAAAGATTGACTTTATTTTGATTAAATGAATTCTTTTTTTTTCCTTATGCTATAATTAGTTTATCTATTCATGAAAACACATTTGCCCATTATTGAAAAACATCATTTTTATAGAAAAATTATGAAATGAACATGATCTTAACAGTAGTTTAATTAAACAAGACAATACAATGAATATTCGAAATATTGAGCAAAAAATATTCAACTATGGTAAAATAGATGAAAAACCAAATAGATTATAACTCAAAAATGTGCTTTATGATAAATATGAAGGAAGTTCCATTGTAGAAAACCCAAATTTTCGTACAAAAAAACATAAAAAAATTGAATTTTTATCATAGAAATATGCACCGAAAAATTCCCTTTAAGAATATGTATGATTTTTCTCAAAATGACTGGACTTTATTAATAGAGTTTTTAGGAAAGATTCGAGCCTTACTATCATGACTTTCAAGAAATTTTTGCACTTTTGATTTTTAATTAGAAAAATTGAAACTCTTTTATAAATGATTCCTGTGTTAAGAAAAGCAAAATTTATTATCCCATAGGATCATCTTTTTATATTATTTCTAGTAAAATGCTCGTCAAAAAATTGCAAAATTCTGTTCCAATACAAACTACTCACAGATGTTGACCTTAAAACTACTTCAATTTCTGCATCTTTTTTAATAACAGAACTTTAGAGATTCTTTCGGAAGTCATAAATGATTTATAATTAATCAAAAAATTCAGTCTAGCTCGATATATAGTATTAAAATTTTTACCACACATGTTTCTCATTTCTGCAAAGTTTTAGTTCATAATACTAAGTGAGAAATCCATTGACATGAATAAATTCTTGATTTAACTTACGCTATCTTTTAAAACCAAACCATCCAGCTACCATTGAACCAAGAATAATAATAATAACAGCCAAACAAATAAGTATAATAATTTTTTTCTGAAAAAAAATTCATTTAATATGTATTCTTTCTTTCTGTTTTTTGTTTCTGTAAATGTTGAGCAGAAAACAATAGATATTTTTAAAATAAAATTGACATGCAGACAAAATTCTAACAATAATAAATAAATAAATAAATACATTTGACTAAATCAATATTGCAAAAAAAAAAAAAGAGCGAAAGAAAGTATCCGAGCACAATGAATAATTGCAAATATGTTTTTTTTCTCTCTGATTTCATACTTTATGTTTCTTTTTTTTTTATTTTTATTTATCGAATTGCATTTAAAATAAGGCCGGTAACGATAAGAAGTAAAATGATCGATACTATACCAGCCACTGTTAGTAGGCAACATTTTTTCTAAGACAAAAATTATGATATGTTTATATCAAACTGCCTATTGACATTAATAATAAAAAAAATTGTAGAAAGGAAGAAAAACACACGAAAGATAATTCAATATTTATCGTCATCGAACTGGAAGAAAAATATATAAGTGATGTAAAGAGAAAAACAAGAACAGGATGTTTAATCATTCTAAGATAATGAGAATTCCTTTCCTTTTTATTATTATTATTATTATTTATGGACAACTAAATAAATGATAAAACATTATTTGAATATATTGATTTTTCTATTTGATTTTTAATTTATCAAACACAAAAAAAAAAATATTAACAAAAACAAAAGCTAAGCAGGATAGAATGTTTATAATAATGTAATTCGTCTTTCTATTTGGTTTCTGTTGATTTATATATATCAATACGCGTGCACTTCAATGAACATAACAAATTAACAAGCAATGCAAAACGACAAAAGTATAAATAAATGAATAAAGTACTTGATCACATGCAAACATAGATAACAAAATGAATGATAGCAAAATTGAAATCATATGACGGAAAGACAATCAATGTGCAAATCTATACAAATAGAAAAATTGTCTTCATAGTTTTCTTTTGGAATATATAAAAAACAAAACAAAGAAAAAAACAAACATTATGTAGACCGATCAACAGTCTTTAGACGTAGATATAGATAAGTTAAGTAATCGAGAGAGAGAGAGAGAGAGAAAAAAGAAAAGTAAAAGTAAATTATTGAAAACGAAAACTATTTACGACCAAAAACGATTGCTAGAATAATCACCAAGATAACGATAACGATAGCAATAATCCCAATAATAATGAATAATTTCTTTAAAAGAAAGAAAAGAGGTATTGTATATAACAGAAAAATAATATTTATATGTGCTCATTTATGTATAGCCATGCCGGTTAGTATATAGCGCATACGCATATATATATATATATATATTTAATCTATCTATCCTGTTCCACTAGGTGCTGCTGTACTTGTTGGATCAGGATTGGACGAGGAATTCTTTTTGTTTACGACAAAATAAATCACAAGTATAAGTACGATAATAACCACCGTTATAATTAAACATAGAATAAGTAGAATTTTTTTCTAAATGAGATCAATTATTTAGATCTTGAATGAAAAAATGACTATTGACTCCTATTAATAATTGCATTCATCAATACATGTTATGTCAAACGAGAATAGAAGAAAAAAAAAAGCTTTCAATGGGCAGTTAATCAAAAGCAAGCAAGCAAGTAAGCAAACATATGCAACTATGTGTAAAAAATAAGCATATTAGATAATGACAAACATGCATTGACACAACATTAATTTGGTGTTTTTTTTTTTTTGTTATAGTCTTTCTATTAAGACTTACCCGTCGAGCTGCACTTTGAAATTTAACAGCTTTTTTAGTATCTGTACTTGCAGCTTTGACAAAATTTTCTGATTGCACAACATTATATTCAATTCGATCAATCATTTCACCCTTTAATAGAACATAAATTAAATATTGTATAAAAAAAAAAAAAGTTCAAATATTTACTTGTGTCTGAACAAGAGCAGCCATATCAATAAACATATCATGTAATTCTCTTATACTTTTTTCTAATTTCATAATATCACCATGTCGAGCTTCAATATCAGCAAGCGATTGTTTAGCTTGTGCTGTTTCAACCATAATCTATACAAAAAAAAAAACAAAAGAAAATTTTCAATTCAAAGTATTTCAAAACAAAAACTAAATTCTTACGCCTTGTGTAAATACGGCTGGATTGCCAGATTCAAGCATTTCTTCAACTTCTCCTTCAGTCACGGATCGTCCGGCTAAAAAAACAAACAAGTATTAATTGTTAATAGCACAAAAACAAAACATCTTTTTTTAATCAACAATAAATAATAATAAAAGCAAAACAAAAAGAATTAAGCTCACTGATCTCAAGCTGTCGCTGTATTCTCTCTTTGCATTTTTGTCGATAACCCAACTGAACTTGATTATAATTATTCATCACATCACGAAATTGTTGTGTTAAAACAAATAACTATAACATAAATGCAAAACAAAACAAGACAACATAAAAAGCATTAGACATATACAAAATATATAGAACAAAAAAATAAATTGAAATGAACATTTGTTGTTTTTTTTTGTATGTTTGGAATTTATTAATCTCAAAACTCACTCATTTCAAATTGTTTTCTTAATTTTTTTTTACTTTCATCTAAATAATTTCTTTTTGCTAGGTGATAATCAATCATAATTTGATTAAATCTTTTTAAATGATTATGTAACTAACAACAAAAAGAAAATAGACACATTGAATATAATACATCGAAAGTATACATATATATATAGATATATTGACACGACACAATATTTATAAATCCTCACTGATTTCAAGTTGTCGTTGAATACGAGCTTTACATCGTTCTCGATATTCAATTTCAGCATTCCGATATGAATTCATTGCATCAATAAATTTACGTGATAATGTTGCATGCTAAATAGGAGGAAAAAATTTGTTTAAAAAAACACCTGCATTTGTTTGGTTTTTTTTTTTCAATAGTTAAACATATATCAAAACAAGAAACATTAAGAATGAGGATCAGTTATTGTATTGTGTCGTGTCTTACTATTATTATTATTAAATATATATACTACCTGTGATTTTTCAATTCGTAATTGTGCTTGAGTTTTGTTTGTTAATGGTTGTGATTGTTCTTGTTCTTGTTCTTGTTCCAATTCTGGAAAAAGGATAGAAAGACAAAATAGTACAGACAAGACAACAATCAAAACAAAAGAATACGTTTAAAACAACATTAAAATCAAATATGTAAAATAGCAAATGAATCAAAACAACACCTGAGTTTTTCGTATGCGCATATCGGCTGTACGCAATGCATTATCATTTCCTTCCTGTTCTAATTCAGTTTCCATAGCTAAATTTGTTTATTTATTTATTTATTTATTTATTTTTTTGTGTGATAAAAGAAATTCATATCTTTTTTGGCATGTATTTTTCTTAACTTACTTTTTAATTTTAATCGAACATCATTAGCTATTTTTTTAATATCAGCCATTTTTTCTTCAAGTTCTTCTTTCGTTCGATCATCAGCTTGTGGTGCAGCTAATATTGTTGAATGAAGACGTTTAACTTCTTCAACAAGTTCACTTATTTTATCAATATTTGTACGTAATGAATCGATATGAGCAAAAAAATCGGACATAAATCGACTATTATCTTCCATATTAATGGCAACATAGGCAGCATCTGGATCGCTGTCTTCACCATGTTGAGCCTAGAAAATTCAATGTCAAAAAAAGAAAGAATGAAAATTTTCTGAATTTCTTTTTGTTTTAAAATTCTATTTCAAAACTTACCGCCCGCAAAGCAGGCAATCGATCCTTAGTCATTGAATATAAATATTAACAATTTAAATTACCAAACATTTGTATAAATCTAAAAAACAAAATTCGACACTTGACAAAATTGATATTTGTTAATCATCGTCATATGGATTTATAATAATACACCTACATCATCCGATTCACGTAATAAAAAAAAGACATATCGATGAATCATTATTTGATTTGTGGAAAAATATCAGAAAGGCGACTCGTAACAGGACGCCATTGGTATTGATGTCAGTTTTTTTTTTGTTTAATGCATTCAGAAACAAAACATTTGCGCACTAATAACAGTCTTTTTTTGACCAATAAAAAAATGATGTATGAGTCATTGTTTAACCATTGTTGATTATTAATATATATTTATTTGATGAATATTCATTCGGAACACGAACCTAAGGGGGTTTCGGGGTCGTTAGAATTTGAGGGTCAAGTAGAAGGTCATTGGTAATGTTGAGCGAATTTTCGAAGAATTTGAGTATTTGTTTTTTTTGTGGAGCTCAGTAGAAGAAAAATGAAAATTTATTAAGAATGAGGATGGAACGGGGAAGTCTTCCGATCGGGACACTCCTGTATAGAAAGTACATTAATTAATAAATTTTTATTGAATAATCAGGAATGTTGCGACCACGAGATGCGCACCCGCCCAGTTTTAGAAAATTTTCGCTTTTTCCTAGCAAAAATTGTTAATTTTATTGAAAAAAGATCGTGAGATGGAAAAATAAGAATCTGCGTCCCCTCCCACTTTTAAAAATTTCATAAATGCATTATTTCATGTTTTAAAATTTTTTTAATACACACCATCAACTTTTCAAAAAATTTCTCTTGCGCCTTCCCTCTCCCTCTCACTGTTTTCTCTTCGACACTTCCCTGTGAATAACTATCTAAGATTACATGAAAAAAATTCATATTCTATTCATTAATTAATCATGCATTATCGAATTCGAATTAAGACTATTAACAAATATTAAATCGAATATTGATGTTTATTTGAAGTGGCTCGTAGAAATTATTTTCTTGTTGATGATGTAGGAGTATTAGTTTAGCAGGTACTTCACAGTGAATATATAGTGACATTATAGGTGATATTCCCATATTATTAGAAAGTATTCCATCTTTTAATATTATATAAAATGAGAAAATGGAACACTTTTCAGTAGAGAACACTAATTTTAATATCATAATGCTTTACAATGAAATATTTGTTAAACGGATATCATCAAAACTGACATGTATCATTAGTCTAGATATGAGTATGAGTACTTATTAATACTTGAAAATTTACAATAAGAATATTATTTGTATGAAATATATTTTCTTGAATTAATCTCGTATGAATTAATTTAAATAATGGAAGAATTTAATATATTTTAACAGAGCTGAAAAGTCATGCATACTTTTTGTTTGTTAAATTTATGAGAGGGAAAAAATAAATTACTTGAAATAAAATGAGACACAAGAAATATGTTTTTCTTTTCTTGATGACGTAGTTCTCTATTCATAAACTTATGACGGAAGTTCTTTGAATTTATTTTATTGCAAAAAATATCGGAAATTGTTTATTGATTGTCATTTCAAATTGAAAATATTCATTGAAACTTATTTTGATAATTAAATTTTTGAGTCTTTGAAAAAATGCATTCATTTAGTAAAAATTCATAAAAATACTTTCCTATTTAATAATTTCTTCAGTTATATATATCATCGAAGGAGTAATCTTACTGAGGCATTAATCTAAAACTTTACCAAAATACTTGTCATTCTAATTGGATTTTATGCAAAGATGCTCAAGCAAAGTAATGTATGTCATTTTGAGTTAGAAACAATTGAATCAATGTTATTTAATAAATTTTCTATTATGATTCCTGTAAATAAGACTAAGATAGAGAAATTTCTTCATTAAACCAATGTTATTAATTGAATTTCAACTTTATATTACAATACATTAATTATAATAAGTAGTAGAAATTTCAAGTAAATTTGTATTAAACAGTTCAATAATTTCTACAATATATAAAATCGATTCTACAATCATCTTCAAAGATATAATCAATGAGAGATGATTTTTTCATACAAAAATCATTAAGAGAGGGTCCACGAGAATACGAGGCATTCGATAAAAATTTTTTTCTTCGAATTTTTTTCCTCATTCAAAACTTCAATGTCTAAAACTACTAATCCTAAAATTTTATGTTCTAATATCTTTCTTATGAAAAGTTAGTCAATACCAACTTTTGGCACTATCGAGGTTTTTTGTGAAAAAATATTCTATAAAAGATGTACTGGCTTTCGTTTCAGCAAATAATTGAAATTTTTCGTTGCATATATGAGAAGATAGAGAATTGAAAACTGAATAAAATGAGCTACATTGATATAATATAATGGCTAACAATTTAAGTTTTATAGAGCAAATATGAGTCATGGAGTG